TCAAGAAAGGTTCAAAGAAACCTGAATTAAGATTGGTTAAGTTCTCAGAAGATTATAATAAATTAAAAAGAGATCAAAACGAAATTCAAAAAAGTCAATTTGATGTTGATGAAAAAAAAACTATTAAATCTCAAAAACTCCAAGAAAAAGAACTAAAAATTAAAGAAATTGAATTATTAAATTCTCAACTTTTTGAATTACAAAAAGAAAGTAGAAGAAAAGAAAATTATATGGTTCAACTTAAAAGATATAAAGATGAACTTCAAAAATTTAACAGAACTCCTTCTAATACTAGGGAACAATTGGATATTTTAATTAAAAGTTTAAATCAAGAAATTGAAAAATTAGAAACACAGAGTGTGGACATTCAACAAAAAGTTAATAAAGAAATAAAACACCATGAATTGAGTAAACAAATTCAGAACCAAATGAAAGGTCAAACGTTATTAGAAAATGATTTAAAAAATAGAAAAGAACTAGAAAAAGAAATAAATGAAAAGATTCAAGGAATTGAAAGTGTTGAAGAGAAAGTGAATAATGAAAAGATAAAAATTGAAGAAAAACAAAAAGGAATTGAAGAAGAAAAGAAAAAAGAAGAAAAAGAACTTGAAGCCATGAAAAAAGAATTTAATGAAATAAAAAATGAATTAGAAAATAGGGGGTATAACATTCATTTAAAACAAGATGATGTTAAAAATAAAAATAAAGAAAACGAAAAGAAAAAGAAAAGAAATCAAGAAATTCAAGAAGAAATTAATGAAATGAAAAAAGATATTATTAAAAAGAATGAAGAAATTGATGAACTAAAAAAACAATTATCAAAAGAATCATTCGATCAAAAAGAACAAAAAAGTAAAATTAAATTAGAAGAAATTAAAAAAGATATTGAAGAAATTGATAATGAAATAAACAGAGCATTAGAAAACCTTCAACAACAAATGAAAATAGAAAGACTAATGAAAGAGATTAACGAAAACGAAAAAGAGCTCGAAAATTTTAAATTAACTGTTGGTAACGATCTTCACGGAAAAGAAAAAGATATTGAAAAGACAATAAAAAAACAAAAAAATGAAATTTTTGAGTATGAAAAATGACAACGAAGAAACAAAACGAAATATTGTAAAAATAGAAATGGAAATTAAACGAGTTATTCAAGA